GTGTAAAAACCCCTAGTGTCTCACCACTGATTAATTGTGCAAGATTTTTGCTGTCTGATAACGTGGTACGAGTGATTATTGTATCCCGTAGTTAAGTATATGCCTTGCCGTTATCGGTTGTCGACAAAATATCAGGCAAACCTGCTGCTATTTCTGGGGGCAAAACAGCCAGCACATCATAATACATCGTGTGATCGTGATAGATTCCTCGTAAGGCAAACTGTGTCTGGATTTGAGTAAACCAAATTCTAGGATTGTGATGCCAGAATGGAAGTAACTGGATAGCCGGAGCATTCATGTAAGACTGCGGAGTCAGTGGGTGTGGTGGCTGAGATCGTGATGCGTCAGACCTGAGTGAAGTACAAAATGAGCAGAACAAAATCAAAGGCGGTGTCACTAAATTATTAGTGCGGTTTCTATGTGATGTGATTCGAAGGATCACACTAGTAAAACCAAGATGTGTATAACCGATGTGTGCAGTTCGTATACAATAAAGTTTATAAATTAACACAGCAAGAAAAAGATAAAGTCTGACTTGTGTATGGTTCAATGTGTAATCGGTTGTTTGCTTATGGTTATTGGCCCGGAGCCTTTGGCTCAATAGCCTCACCTACAAGGCTGTGGGGAGCAGACAAAACGTTGGAGTGTGATTGCAGAGACCCACTGCGATCGGCTTGAGATCCGATACACGCAACCTGCGAAGATCTAAAACCATTCATATGTGTTTTACGAACGTAGTAGCATACGTACCTGCGACCACGACCAGACGCTGGAGGGTTTCGGCGGGTTTGCACCAATTTGACCAGGGGCTGCATGGCTTGAGGCGGGCAGTAGCAAACAATTGAGCACCCGGAGGTGCTCTCCCACCGTCAGAGACAATGCCTGGCGCTCCTGCTCTATGCCAGTCAAGCTGTGCGCCTGTAACACGTGGACCTGATTTTTCCTATGGTTAGGTTTTAAGGGAAGGAGACCATGGACAACTTCCTAACCGCAGAAGAGGATGGGGATGGCAGGGCGCCCATATCTGACAGGGGAACGCCTCGGGGCATCAACTAAAGCCTTCAAATAAATGTATACAGAAAAGTCAGCGGGTATAGCACACGGTCAATTAACAGACTCATGCAGAATGTTGCCTCTTGGCTCTTAAACAGAACAAGGGCGTAACCCAACTCACACCCAGCGATCGCCATGTGGATGCTTCCAGGACATGAGCCCACGGTACAGCCTTAGCAACAGTGAGTCGACAATATGTCAGGATCTGGCCACCACAAGCCACAGTTCACCGTATTCTCTCCTTCGTATATATATATATATATATATATATATATATATATATATATATATAGATTGCATGTCAGAAATATTTGTCTTATTGTCCAGTGCAAACAATGTCGCAATTAGCCTGACAGAAAGGTATGAAAACATTTACTCGATGTGCGACTATTTCAGAACAGGCACCGCAAGTTCTCTAACTGTGCGAAAAAACTTTGCTGCTCTGACATTACAAACTTGAGCAATAATAATTAACTTTACAGCAAGAAACTGTATCCATTCTTTCGTTAATTATGAGCAACTTTGATCTTCTGTTAAGTAAGAAATAATTGCTTTCAAAAGCCATCTGATATGGCCCTTAGCCATAAGGATCACATTCCTATCTAGTAATCCGGAGATCGTGCGTTCCAGCCAGTGTACCGGACCGGGCGACGCTCGCAGTATCCTTAGTGCATGCGGGACTGGTGGTGGTTATCCATCAGCGGAAAGCAGGCAATGCATGCTTACGTATTGTTGACGCCCTTTTCAAATCTATCTGAAAAGCAAGCATTCAATCATGGAATTGTGCATACCAGTTACTTATGGATAAGATAATCCCGTCGGTTACTTTGGCTAGTCTGTAGTTCACTAAGCTGATGGGTTTCACGGATCGCACAAGACGGACTGTGAGTGTAGAGGAAATTAAACGCAATTCGTACAAAACGTTATGATCCGCCGTGTCTATTGATAGAATACCAGAGCTATGCACTGGGACAGGAAGGTTGAAAGCGAGCAGCGTTTCATTATGTCATCACCGGAATTTACCGCCTAACATTCAAACCGATTATTTTAATTGCCGTCCGTAGTGGCCTGGCTGTGAACTGAAATTTCCCAGACATGTTCTTACTGGACAATTGTTACCATAGTCCATTTTGTTTCTACAACCACACACGAGAAATTGCAGTGGGATGCGTACATCCTTTTATACAAGATGCCCATGCGGTACGGGTATTATTCGGCTTAATGGTTTTGCATATTGGTACGTCAAACGAGATTAACAGTGAGGCTAATAACAGCCTAGTTATCCATAATTATCCGCATTGGTGTATATCAGCATGTGGCGTAGTAAACAGTTTGCTGGTAAACGCAGCATTTGTCTCCGATGCGTAACTAAGGAATCAAACAACACTTGGCCAAATACAGTTCACGCGCGCAAACTGGTCATTTAATGTACCACATACGTGCATGTATGGAGCTGAATTTCGCCTCTACTGCCTGTGCAACGTCCCAGCACATTCTAATGAAATTACTCATATCCACAAAAGAACAGGAACAACAGTAATTGCAGTCTTTACAGTTTCATCCACAGCAACGGCTAAATCCACCACTAGTCCAGGTGAATGCATGTATGATCATGCTACCCTTTCTAGTTGAAGAATGCGAGAATTAATATGGTCCAAACCATATTGTTGGGCGGAGCCTGGGATACTAGTCGGTAAGCAATGACACGTAAGACGTGTCATATACGAGACAGTTTAGAAGTCGGAGGCGACTGAACCCAACGTATATTGTGCAGGCTACAAAAATAGGAAGCGAATCAGTCAGAACGAGGAACGGTGCAGCAAGATACTCACCAAAACGCTTTGAGTCCACCGATTTGCAGTCAGTAAAACAAATGGACCTTTTGAAGGTTATAACAACCGTAAAATCCAATGTTGAAAAACACTGAAAGAGCGCGTTTTCCGGTACACTACAATATTTCTATTTACCACCGATTGCAAACAGTTTGTTTTTATGTCTTTACGCTGAGTAATCGTCTTCATGGAAAACCATTCGTCTAACATACAGTCTACCGAGCTTAAGGCATGAGAATTTTCAGGCGTTCAATTCTTTTAAGGGCATGAAGCACAAACGTTATTTTCTCGGTAGATACTCATAATTTCTCTTAGATGTTGCTTTGAAAGTTGGTGAGTTCGGAGCAAAGCCAGTTTACTGAAACGATTGTGTGCATCTGTGGACACACATCACATTTAACCTTGTACGCAGCAGGTGGGAATTTCTTTCGACCACTGTGAAATCGACTACTAATCTATCTATTCGCCAAGCACTACTGCTTGTTATGTGACTATTTCGGAATGATGGATAAACAAACTAGAACTTCAGACCACGCGAGTATTAGGTGACTTGCCGTTTATGCGTTTACTCGCTGTGCCTAACTTCACATAATTAGGCAGAGCGTTTTTAAGTCACAAATGATTCTCACTGAACATGTGGATCATAGCGCAATCGGTTAGCAGCTGTTTGCAACTTAGAGATAGCCACAGGTATGCTCAGATATATGTGTTAATTGTATTGCTTCGTGCCAGCTGTCCACAAGCCATATTAGGCTAACCTCAAGATGGAAAATTACCGGATGATCCTTTCATCCTCTTCGAGTTCGTCAGTGGTCCGCATTCTCTCGCTCCCCTTCTGGGGATCAAACCAATGTCCGCTAACAGCTCTCCCCAACCAGTTAGCAGCATACGCCACTTCGCCATGGGGACGGAGGCACGTCGTCTGAATTTGCAAAGTAACAGGAATTTAGCGCAACCTATCCTCCACTACCATGAATATTCCTACCATTGCAGACTACTGTGGCTGAGCGCCAAGTCTGCGAGTTCCACAACACAGTAGCTGTGCTCACATAACATTTGAAGACTGTGAGGGCAAATATTTTAGCTCACTAATGAAACGGTCGTCTAGTGCGAGCTCCGCTGCAGCTTTCTACAACCGGATTAACAGCTCGTTGACGAAGTTTTTAGCTGTGTGGGTAATTGAACACCATTAGGTACTTTAGCACTTTTCTACAATTCTAGCCTTATGTGCGTAGGTTATGTGCCTGTCACGTGACTGACTGCTGGGAGCGCACTCAGATACACTGAGGCTCAGTGTCAAGTAGACCGACTGTGAAAACATACCTCGGTTAAACGGCCTCAAACTTACGCGAGTAAGGGACGTCCTGAGTGTTCATTTTCTGTTTAGTTCGGAAGACAAGCATCTGAATCGGTTCACGCCGTACGGTTTGTATGAGGGATCACTAAGCTTCGGCCTGTCACCGAAGTTGTTATGTGGTTATGTTTTTACGCTGACTTAGTCTTATGGACGAAAAGCTCTTTTGCGCTCCCTGAAGGTTGGCGCCTTATATATGTTTGCAACAAACCTTTTGATAGTAAGGAAGCTAGCGGCAAGCTGACGGCGAGTGTGTCAAACAATATGCCCAAGTACAGGGATCGTTAGTGCTTACGAAATCTAGCTAGGATTAGCTTTGATGTGCAAACCTCATCGTGTTACAATACCCTGTGGTTCCACAACACCCATAAGTAATGAAAATTTAGATGCCTATATTTTCCAGAAATTTGATTCTATACACAGAACGGTTCGTTTTAAAAAGTAGCTACTTTCTATACGGCATGCATATGAACCACATCATGTTTTACTGTCTATATTAATTCCCGAGCAAGTGGATAAACTTGGAATTTTGGACAAGGACGATTTCCCTACTTGGAAAATAGCTATAAGGTACATATCCGTCATCTATAGGTAACAGATACCTATTGGTATGGGCGCATGACAGGAGTAACCTGCTGCAGTTCAGTAGATAAGGCCGGGGAACTGAAGGATCAAAACTACAACAAAACCTCTAGCTTCAGGAACATAAAAGGCTGCAAATACCAGACATATGTTGCTAAGTTCACACGTACATCGATCAGGGATTCCTGTCATATATATATATATATATATATAAAGTTAGACGGCTCTACAAGAGATGGAAGCTATTTGCAATGGCATCATGGTGTTACTCAATACTATTTTGATGAGCCACTATCTGGCAAACCTTGCGTGTGCTACCAGCCTCTATCTGCAAGTGTTTTGCAGTTTTGATTAATATATATATATATATATTCACGCAGAAAGTTTTCTATTCATCCACCAATTGTAGCCACTCTCACAACGGCGGGTAAGCACTTGTGCATTTACATTGGGCTCTCTATCATGCTGTTGTCGTTTTTAAAGAATGCGATCTGAGCATTTCCACGAAGGTCATCCTATTTCGTATTGGGTCATTCCCACCGAAATCACATACATATGCTTTGTTCGTCCCCTTAGCAATGAGGAAAGACCTCAACGTGTTGCAATGGTTTGCGTTCTCACAGATCCCTTTACATATGCTGTGGTGCTTTGGCATCTTCAGAGCCATTCATACCAGAATGCTCCATGGTTAGAAGCCAGGCAGACTCAATCTTCTGGTCCTCCAGTTTGTAGCCAACCGCCAAAGTCGGTGTTTTGTAGTCAGTTTTTGGGATCAAAGGCATTTGTTGAGAGACCTAATTGTTCTCCTGTCTAAGCCTGGGCAACTTGACAGCATCCTGCCCACGCAACACTATGAATTATTCGTCAAACAATTTCTTGATGCTCTGGCCATCAGAGCGGATAATCAACAGCGCCCTATATGCTGCATCGAATAGGGTTGGTAGGGGTTTGGATGCTCATGCTTAAGCCTTCCCGTCTTCTTATTTCCTTCGTATCCTTTTGCACCCTTAACTTCCCATTCCAAATTCACTTTTATCCCTCCATCATAATCCACCATTTTTGATCCTCCCCACCTTGCTTTGATAGGCGCTTATATTCTAGTTTCACCGAACTTGAAAACGCACAGCACCATTTCTGTCCTATCGAAAAGTCCATGTCCAACCAAGCGGTCCACCCCAGTTCATCGGCTTACATTTGGAGCCCTCGATCCTCCTTCATATTGGTATGCGTCAATATGCGATCTTGCTGCAGATCGGTCAACAGCAGCACTTGTCCGAACATTAGAGACCCTCCCGATAGATATCTGCTGCTTATCGATGACCCGCCTGAAAGACTTGAGCTCTGTGCACATGTTGCGATCCTCTTCAGGTGACACCAGCAGTACTTTTTCACTGCGCTTATCCGATGAGGATGAAGCTTCGAGCACCGGCCATGCTGGTGTTCGTATATTTCTGAGTCCCTGGGCTGAAGCTGCATTAGTTGATTGGATCCAATCATTAACTGGATGTGCGCGGTCAGATTATCTGACTCATTCAATGCTTAGAAGTCTCGCGGAACTAATAGGTGCCTATTCCTCATCGCAGTCTACGCGCCCAAATCCTTAGCAATAATTCGGAAAAGACGACCTCTATCGCCAAATGAACGAGCAATATCACCACAGAAGAAGCATGGACACCGTAGTGCCGGCTGGGAATCTCAACGCTCAAGTTGCAAAATTATCCAATAATGAACTGCATCTGGGCGGCCAACACGGTGTAGGTTCCGGTAACGATAACCGTGTGCAGTTACTTCCGTTGAATGAAGATGCCCGCTTATTTCTTGCGAGCACTAATTTCCGACACAGCACCCACCGGTCGGTGACTTGGCGCCCACCAGCCTCGGACCAGTATGGATGCAAATGGATCACATTAACAAAACTTATCGATGGAGAGGCTACGTCCAGAACTGTGGCTCGTTTTGCAGCCCAGGTGTGGACATCGACCATGCAAATGTATGTGCTGACATGCGGATGCGTTTTGGCGGACGCCCACGACGACGTTGTGAGCGAATTGACACCAGCCAACTGACGAAGCCAACTGTTCTGAATGCCTATCAAAGTAAGCTGTCATGAGAGTGGAGTAAGCGCTCACTGGATGGAACTGAAGCGCATTAGTCTCCTATTCACCAGACCTTACTAGCAGCCGAAAAATCCTCATGTGGTAAGTATAAGCGCCAACATGGATATTGGGTCTTTTCACAGTCACTGGAACTTAGCGATACTCGCCGGCATATTCCGGCTGGAAACGAACACAATGAAACTCACAAAAAGTTCCGGGCACAACTCCATGCTAGCCTGAAAATAGACCACGAATCGTGATGGTGTTATCGTGCTTCGGAAATGGAAATGGCTGCTGCCCTAGGTAACCGTCGTAAGTTATTCCGGCTGATACGGGAAACGGGCAGCAGGAGAAATGGCGTTAGTAAAACTATACGTGACAAGAATGGACAGCCTATCCACAACTTGTCAAAACGTTTGGAGCGTTGGGCTAAGCATTTTGAAAAGCAATTTAATCGGTCTGAATTGTTAGATTTCTCGCCGACCAATGATCGCCCTGCTCCGTGTGCTGTCCATTTGTATCCACCCTGTTGCGCAGAAGTTGAACCTGTGATCGTACTGTTGAAATTACATAAAGTCGTTGGACCAGAATATCTTCCACCAGCCCTCTACAAATTAGGTCGATCTGCTCTTGTGGATGATTTAGATGGTTTACTAGTGCAACATTTGGATCAGTAAACTGTTCCAACCGACTGGAGCCACATCATCATAGTCCCAATTTTCAAGGGAGACTCACGATCGGAATGCGGTAATCCTGGAGGAATCAGTCTGCTCACCATCGCCTCCAAATTGCTTGCCTCTGTCATCCTTCACAGACTGACTGGCACTCGTGGAAGCCAGATTCGTGAAGAGCAAGCCGGGTTTCGTTGATGTTGTGGCTGCATCGACCACATCTTCACTTTGCTTCAGTTGTTGGAGTACCGTTACATATATCAGTGGTCTACCGTTTTCGTTTTCCCCAACATAAAATGTGTTTTCGATTCGCTTAATCGAGGCGCCCTTTGTGACGGTCTACTCAATAAAGTTTTGCCGGAGCATTAATGCGCGTAGCACGGGCAGAGTGTGGGCTTTCGACCAACTGTCGTCTCCCTTCAATATCACCAGCGATTTGGGAAAAAGATGCCCGCTGTCACCATTTCTCTTTAAGTTCGCCATTGTCAAAGTCATGGAGATCGCGTTCACAGGACATGAATTAAAAGCTGTGCAGATACCCTCAGGCGAATGACTTCTTGGCTTGGAGTACGTTGACGTTGTTGACTTAAGCTATGACAGCTCCCATAAGTGCCAATCTGCAATAGATAGCTGATCACTAGCTGTCGGTCGTATCGGTCAGTGCTTTGCTCCCTCGAAGTGCAAAGCGTTCCTCCAAGATTAGCAGGCTCGCTTCATATGCGGACACTTGGTGGGGAATCAGCAGGAATTCGTTCAGAAAATCAATTATCTGGGTAGGTTTCTGACGCCCTTGGGATTGTGGATGACGTCACGAACCGTATAGCAAAAGCTCGAGGTGGTTTTGCCAACCTTTTCCACCTATTCCGCTGGCTCGACCTCACTCTCCCCGAATGATAGAGTGTACAATGCAGCGGGACGGTTGTGAAACGTAGCCCATTAGATCAGCCGACATAAAGCGGCTGTTTACCTTCGAAAACTGGTGCCTTCGCCGTTCGGCTCACAACTGGTGGGAAGACCTCGTGAGCAACGACTGTGTTCGACACCTTGTTTACGGCATTGGAAAAAGTAATTAACTGCTCAGTACCGTCATTTCACACAACAGGCTCCGATGGCTGGGCCACGTGTTAAGCATGCTAGCCAACCGGCTCCCGCGACGTGCATTATTTACGCTGCGGACGGTGTGAACGGAAAAGGAAGAGAGGTTATCAGGCGATGAATTAGTCGAGAGGAATTAAGGCCGTCACTTCGAAGCTGGCCCCGGTTGGAGTGTCTAGGCACTCTGGTTCGGGTCCGAAAAACGAGGAACACGTTTGGCTGGATACCCTTGCTGACATGTCTAGCAGCCGACCTCAATGGCTTTGGTGCTGTGGGTTACATTTTCCTCCCCATCACTCTTAGCCTCCCTCTTCAACCAAAATCTCAATTCTTAGTATAATAAATTTTTGCATAATAGATTTTTTGCTGCATACTAGCCAGCTGATAGCTTCCCGGAGCGACACGAATCTGTTACTAGTAGCTCAGCTGGTATACAACTGTTGAATTTTTTATTTTTGTATTGCCGCACATCAGCGGTGGTGTTATTCAGATTCAGCTAACGTGTATAATGAGTGCTAATCTCCAGCCTGCCTACCGGATGTTAGGCACACGTCGTTTTGCTTTACCTTTCCTCCTTTTACTCTTAATGCATGCAAATGTAATTTATCTTGCAGGCTGCGTGAGACAAACTAACAGTCGTGCATTTGTGATCGATGTATTACTATCGTTGCTGCTCCCAATGGTGATCATCTAAAGAACGAACAATCTAAAATCCCGGGGAGAAATTACACGGAAAGGAATCCTAAAAACAAAATGACAAGCTTTAAATTCATACAAATACATTTCACTGTGGTTTGCTTAACCCACTGTTTACATACACTTGCGGAACTTTATCTGTTCATTCTTTGCACTGAACTCACAAAAGCTTTATGCTGTACAGTTTTCATGTACATCGAAGTAACTATTACTTTTTGTGCAAGAAACGGATAGTCATTGGGTTCATATGGAAACCTATAAAGGACACGCAGTCAAGCTGCCTTTAAAGCGGATTGTGAGGGCTGTTACATATACATTCCAGATTGGTCCCGGCTATTCAACGAATGTTTCGCTATAAAATTAAATAAATAGATAAACGTTTATTCTCTGCAGTGCGCGCCGCGCTCAATAAGACCTGATCAGCAATCAAAGTCCTCTACTGTACATTTAACACAAGGTGATTAGGATAATCTACAGACAACAAACCGAATCTACAACTTAGGATGGAACGACACAAACAAGAACTAAGCAGGTTGTCTAGATATCAATTTAATGTGTAATAGCGGTGAACAAATGGTAATATAGAAGTAGGAGAACTGGGAAAACGAGACATGATAGATACAAGATACAAGGCAAATAGGGAAGTAGAGTAAAAAAAAGAACAAATGAAGTAATACGGCTAGCCATTACTGCGGGCTCGTTGACTCGAAGTTGTTTGAAGTTCCAGCATAACTGCGGACGTGTCATAGGATCAGGTTTGCTCAAGATGAGGATATACATAAATACAGAAGGCAACTTGGAGTGTATGAATAGGCACGGTTACAATCTTGAATGATGCTGTGCCATAGTGTGACTAACCGAGATAATTAGTTCTTAGGTCGAGTCAAGAGCAGAGACAGTTATACAGCAGGCAAATAACTTTTGGGATATAAAAAGGCAAAATAGGCGAACTTAGTTAGTGGGCTATAGACAGTAAAGCAAGGTCGTGTTATAGATACGTGACAAGGGATTAGTCGGTCGTTTCTCCTACAGCTTGTTTTATGGAATGGCGATACTTAATATTTCCGTGACCAAGACTATATTAAGGAAGCTTTCTAGAGCACTATAGAATTGGGCATTAGTCTCAGATAACCTACTTATTAGCGACAACTTGTTTCACGTGTCTGTATATTCGGGATGGAAGAAGTTATAACCTGCCGCATGGAGAGCGACCTGCAGATTGAATGAATGGGTCCTATTTCGTAAATGACACTGAGAAGACCTAGTTATTCAACAATAACTAGTGAGGTTCTTGTCCGAACTTTTAGTACTATTAAATAGAACTGTAAGACTACTTTATAGGATGCGCAGCCATTGTGCTCCAGTCACTGTTGTTGATACTGTCCAAGATATTTCAGCATGAATGGGATTAGTAAGCATTAAGAAAATGAACGCTGTTCGTTCTTCGGCGAAGCCCAATCGATCTCACGTAAATTAAGTAGGCCCATGAGCAATATTCTATCATAAACCTTGAGCGATTTTCGTAAAGTGTAAGCCTTGATTCCAGGAGTGAATCTGATTTGAAGCTTTAGCCGGATATTTACGTAGCTTTAGCTGTGTTGCAGATCACTTCTCTCGCACAGTTAAGGAAGCTAGATTATGGTGTTCCGAGGTCTTGAGCAGAATGAGTAATAGCTAGTGAAGCGTTGACAAGAGAGGAAAATTAACCGGCACAGTGCATCCGTAAGAATGAATATTGCACTTCCTTGGCAAAGGTTCTATCTTCCTTAACATTGACCAGATTTCCAGAATGATAAGTTGACATTCTATGTAAGAAAGATTGTCGCTCATGCCATCTGGGTGAAATGCGAATACGCGTTTTAGGGCGTCAGTAAAACGGTATAGCGTACCTCGGGACACACGGAAGATGTCGTCAACGTACAGTAAAAGCAGCAGTGAGCACAGGAAATTTCATTGGAAGACTCCAAAATTGATCGTTTTCCGAAAATGAATGACAACCTAGGTACGCCGACTTTGTGAAACCGCTTAAAAACCAGGTGTTTCTTACCAGAAATATATAAATTGCACGAGCCTGGTCAGTAATTCCACGTCGTGGAACAAAGCAAATAGCATATGTCCAAACTCTATCAAATTTGCAACGTTGTTTAGGAACAAAAACCTACATGTCTGAGCCATTCACTCACTCTTTCTGCACCAGCTAGATAACGCCGGACAGGTTTATTGTTCATGTGCTACTCCCACTAGACATGAGCTAAGCTGCGAAGGCAGCTATGTTGGAACGTTACTAGCCCCTTTATGTCTGTCAGATTGATGGGCCAGGTTTCATAACCATACAGGAGGGTTGGAGGAACAGCTGAATTATAAAATCTGCCATTCAGAGTGAGGGTGATTTCACGCCGACGACAAAGACGGCGGAGATTGCTAAAAGCCCCATCGAGGGTTTTTGTGTAGCATACGCTCACATATTCAATTCCGCTGGTGCTGGTACAGCTGTCAAGATATTTGAATTCCTGAACAACATGTAGCTGATCATCACTAGGGGTCAATGCAGGGTGGGTCCCTGCTTATCTTGGAGAAGATCTTTCCATTTCGGGTGTGCAAAACCTAGCTCGAAACAACTGACAGCCAGAGCTAATTTATCCAGCGCAGCTTGACACATTCGGGAGATATCAGATATTAGGGCAATCATTGGCGTACTCCAAGTCGAGAGGTTGGTCACCTAGGAGTGCGTCCACACCTGATAGGTCAAGTCCATGGAACCTATTCTTCATGACTTCCTCAATGGAGTAAGTATATAGTGGGCGTCCTTGTCTCACACCTCTGGAGTTATTGAAAGGCGGTGACAGCATGTAGCGAGCCTTCACCCTGCCCGAGCTATGCACGCAAAGCACTCTTACAATGTTTACCTATGTTTCGCGCACACCTTTCCTGAGTAGGCAGTCTCAAAGAACACATCCATCAACCGAATCGAAGGTATATTTGATGTCGAGGAATACGACTACTCCGATAAATAACGCGCAGCCATAATAATTGATTTGAAGTGAAATTTTGGTTAATACAATAGTGACTTTGACGAAATCCGGCTTGCTCCTCACAAATCTGGTTTTTACGCTATTGCGATTCGCTACCCAGCGCCTACACTGCTTGGTTGAAATTTGCTCAATGCTGATTAAACACTTTGCTGAATTCTGAGATTTTGCGCGTCATCCTGAATTGCGGTAGTTTCTTCGCTTGCATCTCGCAGTATAAGTCTGCTACAGGTACACTTTTTCTGACACAACACTTGACGTCACTGGTACCACCAAGCATCGTACAATTCAACCTCTATCGGAATTTTGAACTGACTGTGAAAACACGCCTACTTTAGGCGCCTAGCTTCGCTATAGAATCTCGTGCCAGCATTATTTGATTTAATTACCGGCCTTAAGTCTCCGATCAGCTAAGAAAACGAATTAAGGCTACTTCGTCACTTGCTCGGAGCTGCGGGGCAGCGACATTTTAATGACCTAAACCTCATAGGATTCAAATTAGCCACTGGATCATTTAATGCTCCCGATTGCGTTTTGGGTTCCTAAGTGAACCTGTTCATTTTCTAGGTACATGTTCTCCGGAATGCAACAGGAGCCAGGTGAATCTTGGGATGAACTTACTAGGATTAATCGTGCAGTACGTTCGTACGATTACTCAGCTGATAGGCAGCAAAGGATCAAAAGCTGCATTTTGATGCAACGTTTGATCTCTGGACTGACTGATAACCAACTGTGCGAAATGCATCTTATGCAAGCCACCAGAACTTGTACCTGGGATCGAATTAGCGAGTTGACCAGAATAAAGACGGGGATTACACTGCAGGCTAAACTTTCTGTAATTAAACTGACTGATGTGACAAAAATGCAATCCACTTAGTACGTACGACGGTGTAAAACAGAGTGGTCAGATGCCAATTGAACTTGAGAGGTACGTGCTTAATTTGCGCTCTGTTTCAATAAGCCTTCCACAATTTGAGGTATTAACACATGGGTTTAATTTCTCAGTACCACCGGGTAAAGGTGACAGAAAACAAATTAAAGCTAAATCTAAAAATCTATATGAGCAATTATCCACTCTTACACCTGCCACTGACGACGCAAGCGGTTGGTTTAAGGCTACTTTAGTAAACCTGGCCAAGAAATTTTGCGTTAACTAAACGGGAAGGTGTTGAATTTTGTGGAAACTCCACTGGGAGTCCTAAGGGGCATTACGGCGAAATGCAAGTGTGGTAATACTAGGACCGGATAAAGGAACAGGAGAAATTCTTATGAATAAAGATGACAATGTTAGAAAATGCATACAGTTCTAGCTGACAGGAGCCGCTTCGTTTGCCGTGCGACAGGTTGTGATAGAACCGAACAAGTAGAGAAAGCGTAAATACGCAAGTTAAAAGAGCTGTTGCAGATTGGACTGACTGACATGAAAACTTTGGCATTTTTTATGAGCCCATGCTTGCGTTTCTGGGACGTAGGAAAAATGGTGATGGCACCAAACCTCTTCCCAAGCGATCCTAGACTACCACATGGCACCATCTGTCAGACACCTACGCTGATTCCTCGGCATAGTCAACTACTGCGGCAGACCCATACGCAACTGTGTGGACGTACATATCTTCGACGATCCCAACAACATTGTTACTGATGCATTATCTAGTGCTCATCGGAATCAACTGTCACCGACACCAATCGATCTGGAGAGAATATCTGCCCCACAAGGCAATGTTCCTGAGCTTATCTAACTCCGATCAAATGACTCATTACAATACTTGCATTTCCCACTTTTACGGATAATAAGCCCCTTGCTTTTGCTCTTCGGGCTTCCTCTGATCGCCTCTCACCACGAGAAATTCGTCAGTTGGATCACGTTTCACAGTTTGCCACCGACCTTCGACACATTGATGCAGCTCACAGTATTGTAGTAGACGCATTGTCCGGCATTGGTTTTCACGAGGTTTCGCGATAAGCAATC